TATCGTGACACCGAGCTAGTCTTCCTTCATCAACCACCTCCACCACCACCAGCTCCGTCATGACGGACGAGGCAGCCAGGCCTCTGTTGGACGGTGATTCTAGGCCGGGCTCACTTCATCCAGTTCCTTCACCCAAGGATGGAAAGACACCTTCTCTCACTTATCAGGAGCCTCGACCGTATGAATTGTCCGATGAATCCGCTCCGCTTCTAGTCCGTCGGGATGACGATGAATTTCTGGGGTACGGCGGGACCGACCCCAGACAACGACGTGCTTCCGATCTCTCGCGCCGCTCCCTCTCCTCGGACCCCTCCGTGAAGAAACGACGGGGCAAAATCCGATGGCCCATTTTCTGCGCCGTGATCTCAATCCTTGCGGTCGCTGCAATACTGGTCTTTGCTTTTATTGCCCCAGCAGCTGTAAAGGAGTACGTGAAAGATGCAACGGTCTTCAACCCCACCAATGTGTCAATTGAATCGACGACCGCTACGGGAGTCCGTGCTCGTGTGCAAGGGAACCTGATCCTTGATGCACAGCGCATCAAAAAGAGACCAGTACGGGATCTAGGTCGTTTCGTCACCTGGATTGGAAGAGAGGTCGAGACCGGAGAGGCCGAGGTGGAAGTAAATCTACCCGAGTACGGCAATGTCCTCGTCGGTACCGCCTCTCTGCCCCCACTCAACATCAATATCCAGAACGGCCATGTCAATCATGTCGATTTCATTGCAGATCTGGTGGCAGGCGATGTGGAAGGCGTTCGCTCACTAGCCCTGGACTGGCTAGACGGCAGACTCGGCCACGTTCGTGTAGATGGCAGAGCAACAATGCATCTCCAATCCGGCTTGTTGGATCTGGGCACACAGACGATCACTGACACGATCGTCTTGCAAGGTATGTATTGCGGCGTGAATTTCTCTTATGCTCCACAGCAGGCTGACCCAATCGACAGAGGGCGACTTTCCCCCGGTGCCCACGGTCAACGTGACCGGTCTTAACGTTCATGATGCGGACACCCCTGGAGATGAAGGAGCAATGGTCGTGGACGCATCCGTTGCTGCTATGATCCAATCCCCTTTCTCCCTTAGCATCCCTCCACTTGGCTTCACAGTCCTGGTGCCCAACTGCTCTCCAGGGGACCCATACATCACAGTGGCCGGTGCCATGACCGAGGGATTCCCGGTCACTCCCGGCAAAACAACTTTGATTAATGTCAGCGCCCTGATTCGAGGTCTTTCGGACGACCTGACGAAAAGTTGCCCAGGAGAAAAGAGCTCGCCGCTTGACTTCCTTGTCAAAAGCTACGTTCATGGCCGTGGAACAACTGTCTACGTCCGTGGAGCTGATGCGCCCTCCTTGGATACTCCAGACTGGATTGTGGACATACTAAAAAGTGTGACGGTACCGTTCCAGTTTACTGGCCATACCTTGGATAACCTTGTCCGCAATTTCACCATGTCGGATGTGCACTTCAGCTTGCCTGACCCTCTGGCAGAGCCGGACTCGCCTGAATCCCGTCCAACAGTCTCTGCTCTGGTGAAGGTCTTGATAGGGCTACCGAAGGAGGTTGGACTCGAATTCGATGTGCCCCGGGTCCGGGCCAATGCTGATGTGCTCTATCTCAACCGCAAGGTTGGAGTCTTGGATCTCAACAAGTGGCAGCCGGCCAACTCAACCTTGCTTGAAGATGTCGACGGTACCCCGGCAGTGCTGGTTGACTTTGCCATCAAAAACGCCCCGCTGAGGGTTACTGACGATAATGTTCTCACGGACCTTCTCCAAGATCTCATCTTTTCTGGTAAAATTATCAAGCTGAACGTGACAGCCAATGTAGACGCGGAAGTATCCACGGGACTCGGCATCCTGACGGTCCGCGAGATACCAGCCGAAGGAGAGGTTATCGTCAAGCGTTAGTCGCTTAGCTGCTCTGCACCATGAGGCTACTATCCAAACTGACTATTACTTAGCCCCGTACGGTGGCTCACTCGATGAATTCAAGCCACATATTGAGTCGCTCAAATTAAGCGACACGAGTGCGTCTTCACTGCTCGTGGAAACGAAAGTCAATGTTACGAATCCTACGCCGTATGCTGCTGCGATACCCCTGATAGATTTCGTAATGCTCTTCAATGGCTCAACAGTGGCCCACTTGACGGCAAAAAACGCCAAAATAACCCCCGGATCAAACAGCGGTCTTCACGTGGACCTCTTATGGAGTCCCCTCGGCTTTGATGGCCCATCTGGTGCCAGCGCTGGACGGGACCTGTTGTCCCAATATATCTCAGGTAAGCTGAACCGACAACACTGCAGCCGTTTCGGTACCTGATTTGTACTGCTGTAGGCTCCAATACTACGGTTACCATACGGACACACGAGAAGAGTATTCCCGCACTACCAGGGCTAGGACGGGCGCTTTCAAGATTGAGTCTGGACGTGCAGATTCCTCGTATCCCTGTCCCTCAGGCACCGGGACACGAGCCTGATGCGGGCAACGGGTCCATGGGATTTATACAGGGAGCTACGGTAATTTCTACTTTCATGGAGCTTGTCCTTTTGTTATGACGATGATGACATTGGATGCCATGTAGCCCTTGATGTACGATGTCATCATCGCGCGGGCACACCTCGGCTTGGTGAAACTGACTAATGCGATCTGAGTGCTCTTAGATGCACTTGTGGTCATCGACGGCCGAGTTCACACTGTCTTCGCCGTTCCCCAACACAACAATCGAGATCACTTCGATCGATGCTCAGGCGTTCTACCAAGCAGAGAGCGAGGAGGCAGAAGTCGGCTCTATCGACTACCGGATTCCGTTTCCGGTCCCTCCAGGTCTATCTGTGACTCCGCGATTGCCAGTAGATTTGAAGCTGGGCGGAATTGGCTACGATGCGTTGAGACGAGCCCTTGGCGGCTCTCTCCAGCTAGACGCCATCGCGAAGGTTGGCGTGCAGATCCAGCATTATAGGGACTGGGTGGTGTATCATGGCAAGGGCATCAAAGCAAAGGTAAAGCTGTGATACGAACTTCCTTCGTTCATCGGGCCAAGTCGGAGTTTGGGATTCGGGAGTTTCTTTTCAGCATAGAAATTTTGGTTTGGCATCGATACTGGGATGCTATTCAGGTTGCAAAAAGAACAAGTCAATGGCGCTTTGCCACTAGTTTACACTCATATCACAAGATCTCAGCTGCCTAGTGACTATCTACTGAATGTAATCGCACCTACTTGACTCAATGACTCATAGCCTGACCAGTAGGTAGATACATCTGAAGAGCTTTCATGACGTAACAATTCGGAAAGTTACCTAGCGCAAGCGAATCGACCAATTTACAGGGAAAGCAGTCTGCTTCGAAACATAGAGAAAAGGATACGGACTGTTTTTTCATTGCAGGATATTGAACGTTGGATATTAGAGGAAGGACAATGTTTAGCCAGGGGGAAGGGTGCTAGCATCGACAACGTCGGCAGCATCCTTCTCAAGCTCCTCGGTAGGCTCAAAGAGAGGAGAACGGGGCAGGGCCATGAGACCGGTGCGAGTGGATTCGAGGACACCGAAGGGAGCGATGAGCTTCATGAAGGAGTCGATACGGGAAGGCTTAGCAGAACTGTTTAATTCGGATATTAGTTTCCCATTCGTCCTTTTTTGTCAAAATGAAATTCAACCCCCCCCCCCCACAAAACAAAACAAAGAGGGAATGAAATGACTCACACTTCGACAATGCAGTTGTTGGTACTGATATCCAGCACCTTACCACCGAACTGGTGAGTCAGGCGGGTGATGGCGTCGAGATGCTCGTGCTTGTGGCGGAGGGCCTGACTGTGCGGCAGGTTGCGGGGGTGGTACTCGGTCTTCGCGATCTGCTGCTTGGCGTCGCCCTGCTCGCCGGGGGTGGTGATCTCGCGGTGGTGCTGGAGCAGCTCCTCGAAGAACTCCGGGCCGAGGATGCTGACCTTGGCGAGGAGGAGCTCGCGCTGCACTAGCGCGGAGTCGGTGTAGTCCAGCACCGCCCAGACGGGGACCAGGTCGTCCAGCTGGCGGCGGGCCTGCTCGACGACGCCGTCCTGGCCCTGCAGCACGATGGTCATACGGGACAGATCCTCGACCTCGGTGTTGCACACCACCAGACTGTCGATGTTGAAGCCCCGCGCCGCCAGGATCCCGGACACCCGGGACAGCACGCCCGGCTCGTTCTGCACCAGGCAGTTCAGGATGTGCCGCTTCGGCGGGTTCGTCGGCACCGAGGGCGTCTCGTACAGGATCGACGAGACCGCCGTCGGCGCGTCCCATTGCGGCGACGCATCGTTGACGGGCAGCGGCAGCGGAGACCGGCGGTGCAGCGCCTTGTAGGCGAGCGCGGAGGTGGAGCTGGACGAGGCCCGGGAGGAGGAGGTGGTCGTGGTCGTTGTCGTTGTGAATCGCGGAAGCGTAGCGGCCAGGCGCGAGGTGCGGCTGGCCACAGCCAGGAAGGGCGTCGATGACGCTGTCGCAGACAGCATCACGGGGCGCCGGAATGCCATGATCGCCTGGTGGGGGGGGTAGAGCAGGCTTCAAGGGGCGGCGTTATGGGAGGGCGAGGATGCAAAACCGGGGGATCATGAATTAAGTCTCGCAGTCATCGATGGGCATTTTATGTCGGGGCCGCCTTCCGACCTCGGGGTTGCTGACTCAGTCCTCCGTTCGCCGGTCGCTGCTCGCTGCGCGGCGCTTTCAACGGTCTTACCGCTTTGGGGGTTTAGTCTGTTCCCCCCCGGCCCAGACTCTCGTCACATGATCTGCTTCGATTCCAGTGCATCTTTCCCCATTGGGAGTCTCGCTTTACTTGTACTCCGTAACTCTGCACATCTCTGGGATCGGTGGCTGATAATCGCTCTTAATGATCACCACTGACTTCTCTCTTGTTTTTCTTGGTGTGATCGACAGTTTGTGTATTGTTCACATGTTGTGCTGAGAAGACACTTACTTGCTACGTGAGTTACATGAGTCCTATTCAGCTGTACTCCGTACTGTGACTGTAGACTGACACTAAACTACGGAACTAGTCCTTAACTTACTCTAAGGCACACCCACTCAGCTTAGCGTCCACCAACTGGACGCTCTTCTGTTCTTCAGCAACTCCACCGCCTCCCGGGAAAGTCCTTCGCAGACCAAGACTTCCCAGTAACCTTGCTTTTGGGCCCTATTTTAGCCTTCTTCTCGTTGCCTTCTTATTACTTTTTTGACGTCTTTCCTCGTTCCATTCGCTGCGCTCTCTCTTCAAATCCCTTCAGTATCATTTTTCTCTCGCCTGTGAATTCTCCGCCACACTCATGGAAGAACACCGCCCCAAACGTTCTCGCTTCGATCAGACCGAGCCTGATTCGCGGCGCCCGTCTCGCTTCGACCGTCGCTCTCGATCTCCGTCGTCGCGACAAACCGAATCTGCTCGAGCCCGCAGCCCCCTTAGTCGAGAGCCTCGCAGTCCCAGCGCAGATCCCGCAAAGAAATCCGATCCTGCTACCGCTGCTGGTATGTTCGCAAGTTGTCTGGCGGTGGAATCGCACAGTGCTGACATGGTTCGATACAGCCGCCGCTGCGGCTAAGATCAACGCCCAGTTGCAAGCGAAGAAAGGAATTCAGCATGTCGACGTTCCCCCAATTCGCTCGGTAAGCACATCCTCCACTCCGTCGGTCGCATACCATCAGTGAAGGAATCACCACACTGACCAGCCCGGGTTTGTTTAGTCCGGAAGTCCTATGCCCAAGTCCGGTTCGCCTGGGGACGTCGATGCTTCAGGGAAGCTGAACGCCGAAATTTACGTTGCCGATGGAGACTACATCAAGGATATCGAAATCAATGATTTGCGCAACCGCTACACGCTGACCAAAGGCTCTACTCAGAAGATGGTAATTACTCCTGTTGCACCTGCTGATCTTCCAGGCATCTTGTTCGCTGGCTGACCAGCCGGCCAGCCGGCGGTCATGCGTTTTCCTCCCTTTGACCCTCTGTTCCTTCGTGTTTTATGATTGTGACTAAAAACTTACCCAAGTCAAACGAACTTATACACAGCATCTCACTTCCCCTCTTTTGCATCTGCTGACCTCCACTGCGTGACATCTAGATCAAGGAAGAAACTGGCGCCGGTACGCCTCCATCTCATACTTTTATCAACTGTTGACTACTCAAGAAGGAAGCTCATGATTGATTCTTTTCTCAAGATGTCACTACTCGAGGAAACTACTATCCCGATAAGAGCATGGCCACGGCCGCGGTATGTTTCGCCCTTTTTCCGTCTCTTAAGAACCATGAAATCTGACATTCTCGATGCGTCTCATAGAACCCTCCGCTTTATCTTCACGTCACGAGCACGAACAAGGAAGGCCTCGAGAAGGCTGTCGCCCTAATCGATGAGCTCATGCAGAAGGAGCTTCCCAACTTGGTCGATGAGCGACGATTCCGCCGGCGAGAGCCGGAACAGGTAGAGCGTGATGAGTTTGGTCGTGTATGAGATATATCTCCAGGTCCACATCTGCTTCGAAGCTAATGGTGTACAGCGGAAATGGCCTGAGGAACGCATTCCGGTTGACCTCGAGCCCATCCCGGGTTTCAACCTCCGCGCTCAGGTCGTTGGCCAGGGCGGCGCATATGTCAAGCACATTCAGTCGAAGACCCGCTGCAAGGTCCAGATCAAGGGCCGTGGATCTGGCTTCATGGAACCCAGCACAGGCCGAGAGAGCGACGAACCGATGTTCTTGCACGTCGCGTGAGTAGTAACAACCTTCCCTAGTCCTTGCTTACCACTCACTGGTATCACAGTGGCCCCGACCCCAATGACGTCCAGAGTGCCAAAGAGCTATGTGAGGACCTCCTTGCCAACGTCCGTGAGCAATATCAGCGCTTCAAGGAGAACCCGCCCCAGCACAGTTACGGCGGTTATGGTCAGCGTGGCGGCGACCGCTATCACGGAGGAGGCTATGGCGGCGGCGGCGGAGGCTATGGCGGGGGCTACGGAAACCACCATCACAGCAGAGACAACAACAGCCATAATTCTCCGTCTGCATCGGCGAGCCCATCCACACAGGGTGCCCTAGGGGCCTCGGGATCGGGTACTCCCAGCGCGGCGGACTACAGCGCCCAGTATGCCCAGTATTATGGATCGGATCCGTATGCAGCCTACGGTGGGTACCAGAACTATGTCGCCTACTACCAGTACTACCAGCAGGCCGCTGCTCAGCAGCAACAGCAGCAACAGTCCCAGAGCCCCGCTCCTCCCCCGCCTCCTCCTGCCGCTGAGGCTCCTCCTCCCCCGCCCCCGGGCTCTGGCTCTCCCCCACCCCCTCCGCCCCCAGGTGGCAGCTACAGTGCAGTAAGTGGTTACCCTCGGACGGATTTGACGAATTGAAATACTAATCCTTCGATCCATCCTGATAGGTCCCGCCTCCCCCAGGATTGTAATTCTATAGCTAAAGCTACGCACTTGACAAGCAACCTAACAACCCCGTATACTACAGAGCCAGACTGATAATCACCACGCGCAGAACGTGCATTGAAGGAAACTACAGTCATTTTAGCTGCTTACCTACTTACCTACCCAATCAGCGCCTGCATCACGCCCATATCTAGCTGGCTACTAAAACCGTCCGACTGACTGATTTGCTTGGCTAGTATTTGTAGTATCTGATTTGTTTTACTTAACCTTCCTGGCTTGCCCTATTGGGTCACTTGGTGGTGGTGGTGGTGCTGCTACTCAACTTCTGTAGAGAGCCCCAAACCAAAAATTATAGTCCTGAGGTGTCCTACGATGCACGACCATTCATTCTTGTTGACTTAGAACAAGCTTATCCTATATTGATTTCTAGCCCATTATAGCTCCCTGTCTGTCTTAGACATCTAGACATGTTGATTGTCGATAAGCAGGGAACACACGGTGTGTGTGCCTTAGGCGATTCGAGGAGAGTGAACGCAGCTTAAAGGCTTGCATCCGTTATTACTTAAGATATGGCACTAACTAGATTCTAGAGAGCCCGAGGGGGGCGTAATGATTTCGCTTATGTTTCCCCAGGCGAAGTAGGGAGCGCAGCGTTGTCTCAGTAATCGCCGAAATCCCGATACCCCGGGAACATCTCCGGGAACATCTTCTGCATGTACCAGGGGACATGGTTCATATCTACAAAGTCGTCGGCGTGGCTCTCCGGCGCCATCCTTGCCTTGCGCATCGCGACCCCTTGCGAGCCCTCCTTGCAGAAGTCGCACGCAAAGTCGCAAGGAGAGGATGTGGTCGTGGTCGGGTTCATCATCTGGGTCGAACTGGACGGGGCCTGCGAGCCCATCTTCTCGAGCTCGAGGTCCCCGAAGAAATCCTTGATCATCTCATGGCGGCACCGGGTGGTGGTCTCGCAGTAGCCGATGACCTTCTGGAAGCTGGCCAGCCGGGCGAACTGGTTTTGGACCGTCGAATTGGTTCGATTGTTGTTGCCGCTGCCGCTGTTGATCGGCCCGCCGGTGCGGTTGCGGGCATTCTCGACATCGCGCTGCAGGCGGTCGAGGATGCGGTCCCGTTCCTGGGTGTTGTAGTAGACGATCGAGGCGGCGGCCCGGCCGTCGCGACCGGCGCGCCCGGATTCCTGGACGAAGCCTTCGAAGCTGCGCGGGGGGCTCCAGTGGATAACGAACCGCACGTGCGGGCTGTCGATGCCCATGCCGAAGGCGGTGGTTGCGACGATGAGGTAGAAGGCTGGCGGGATCGGGGGCGGCTTCCCGTCGCTGCGGCTGCGGGATTGGGAAACAGGCTGGGTCGATGTCCATTCGGTCTGGATGCGGGTTCGCTCCTCCGACGAGAGACCGGCGTGGTAGGCTACGGCATGGATGCGGCCGTCCCAGGCTCGGGAGAGCGCGCTCGCGAGCTTGTCCGAGACAGCCCGGAGGGGCACGTAGATGATCCCGGACACCGGGGGGAGCTTCGCAGCCTCCCCGGCGCCCAATCGCGCCTCTCTGCGGGCCTGCACGGCCTGCAGCCATGCCACAAAGTCCCGGATCTGGAAGTCTTCCGGCTCGGTCGGATCGCTCGCAAAGTCGTCCAGGTACCGGACCTCGTAGTGGATGTTGGGGCGGGCGGAGGGGGTGTTGAAGATCCGGAGCCGGAGCGGATCCAAGCCCAGGAGCTTGATGATGTCGGCGCGGACCCGCGGGGTGGCTGTCGCCGTTAGAGCACTGATCGGGACGGGCGGGTTGGACAGGGCCCGTCGAAACCAGCCGAGTTCCTTGTAGGCCGGCCGGAAGTCATGGCCCCATTCGCTGATGCAGTGGGCTTCGTCGATGGCGATGCGAATCAGCTCCCCCTGGGAGTGGATCGTCTGGAGATTCCGCCGGAAGGTCTCGGTCTGGCAGAGCTCCGGGGTCACATACAGGAGCCGAGTCCTCGGATGGCCGGAGAGCAGGTCGTCCAGGATGACTCGTCTTTCGGAGATCGGCGTGGTGGAGTTGATCGTTGCTACTGCGACCCCGATGGCTTGTAGTGCCTTGACCTGATCTGTCTGCATGCCACCACCTGAGTAAATGGAACTGTGGCTATCACAAAAATCCTCGGGAGGCTTACCATCAGCGCCAGCAGTGGACAGATTACAACAGTTACTGTGCAAAAGGGCCAAAATCAGCCAACCAGGTTTGGTGCAGGATCACGGAAGCAGGTCAAGCAAAGTGGCAGTCAGGAAGAGTTGGGATGGGCCAACCAACCTCCATGACTGGTTACTGCTGGGAGTTGGAAGCACAGGCTCTTTCCAAACGATGTGTTGGCTTGTAAGAATACATCGTGGCCCTCCACAGCGGCCGTGATCACATCGCGTTGCAGTGGTCTGTTCGTCCCAGATTAGCGGATCTATCAGCGAAAGAGAGGAGAGATCTAGCACCGCGTACCTGAAAGAGTTTTTCTGAAACACACGGCGCAGATAGAAGTCGAGGTCCACTTTACGGCGCTGCAGACCTCCGCTGACCATATTCGCAGCATCCCAAATAGTATGGAGAATGGGAGTTCCTTTGGGGATTGAGGTGAGTTGGGAAGTTCTCACGGAAGCGCGACGCGGTCTTCGAGGAAGGAAAGCGAACACGATACCACGTGATCCAGTATAGTGGTTTTGCCCTACAAAAAGGCAGCAAATGAGGAAGGATGAAGACAAAAAGAACTTAGAAGGAGCCAGTGCAAACTTCGGGTGGAATTCATTATTTTTCTTCATTAAATGATGGTACAGACATCTCCACTGACCCAAGCTCGTATAAAACGCTGTGCAGAACAAGAACACGCCAATGTTGGATCCATCGCTGTGTTCGCAACCAATCTCTACCTGAGGGTATATCTATCTATCAGGTCTATATAATAATATACAAGCACCTTGGAAAAGGCCCACCGAAAAGGCAACGAAAAGAAAACAACAATCACAGATCGCTTCAACGCCACCGGACGTTTTTCATCTGCTTCTCCAATTCCTCCTTTACAGCCATGACGTCCTGCGCCCTGCGCTTCCAGGGTTGCCAGAGGCGTTCCATTTGGAGCCATACTTCCATAACTTCCTGGGGTCCGTAACAACGCCCAAACGCGCGGAGGATGGTCAAAATCATGCGACGACCTAGAAATACCCCGTTCTCGATTTGACGCTCCAGTTCCTCCTCCGACGCATCGGAACCAAGTGCCTCGTCGTCGCGTGCTGGCCCGTTGGAGACATTACCGGGCTCGACAACTGCATCGGGTTCCGCAGGTATGACCTCCCCAACGCCCGGCTCTTGCACTTTGACAGGAGTCTCTTTCTGTGGTAAATGGGTGTACAGCCCGGTTGTCGCGTGCGGGATCGAGGGTTGTGCGAGTGAGATGTACGACTCGAGCAACGGATTCTCCCATGTGGGACTTTTTTTTCGAGGGCGGGGATGGAATTCTTGTTCAAACCGCGACTTGGATTCATAAAGGGCTCGCAGATACGTCTCCCATGCCACTCGCAGTCTCTCCGCTGTCCACCCTTCTCTTCGCCGGCCATGATGGGCAAACCCATCGAAAAGGAACATGTATATCAACCCGCGCGGGGGTACAGCGAAAACCTTCTCCATGTCAGTGATGATAGACATCAGGGCTCCAATGTCGCCAGTCTTTTGGGCGTATAAGGACAGAAGGATGCGGAATGTGCGAGTGTCGGGGGTGATGGCGATCGCTCTTTGAAGCGTGCGATGATGATCTGGCAAGTGATCTTTGAGGCGGGCGGAGATCTCTAGGAGGCGATTGAGCCTTTTCGATCTTGCTCGGTAGGTTTTCATGTCGGTGGACAAGTTACCATGAATGGCGTGAGTGCGGGAGCCCGCAGCCTGGTTCATCATCATTTGTCCATAAATGGCTTCCGCTGCTTTCACATCTCCGGCAGAAATGAAGGAGGCCATCAGGCAGTTCATAACGGCAGTGTCAATGAGCTCGCCGCTCGAGGCGAAGTCATCGAATGCTTGCCGGACGCCGATAGCATCATGCTGTTGGCCATGACGATAAATTCTCGACACTTTGCCGGTGCGTCCAAACTGGAGACCTCGCTCTTCCATTTCCTCCACAAGCCGGTCGGCAACGGTAAATTGACCGGCTTTGATGGCAACGTCAAAGAGGACGGTAAACACAACCCCGTCTGACTTGACTCCGCCCCAATGCTCCATCTTTTGCCAGAGACCGATCGACCTTACTAGATCTCTTTTATATACTCTGCCCGATGCCCGTCCTGCGAGATGAATAGCAGAAGTCCATAGAGAACGGGACACCGGGAGCTTGGCAACAACCATGTCGTCAAGCAGCGCAAGGAACCGTCGCGCTTCCACCCACCGACGGTTCTCCGGGGTTGCAAACCGGCGTAGCAGAGCTCCCCGACAAGCTTTCGAGAGACGCGCGACTCCCGGGTAAGGAATATCTCTGTAGAGTCGAAAGATGTACTGATTTGATTTGCCCTCGTCCCACAGGGCGTCCCGAAATCTCCTAACCGAATTAAGCTCCTCATCATGGTGCGACATTACTTCCTTAGCCGGTGACGCTCGTGTCGATGATGGGCTCACCATAGGTCGGTCCCTGGTGACTAGATCTGCTGCCTGCTCCCAATCAAGTGAATCCTCGAACAGTGTTTTGTAAAAATGTGAGACAGATTTATGTAGTGTCTTTGCGGGTGTGGTCCTCCCTTTGTAGCCGTGCTTCTTCAGCTCGCATTTTCCATCCGATATCTGAGTTGTAGTGTTATTCGTAGTTGCGTTGTTGCGCGTGGGAAAGTTGGCCTCGCTCTCTGGTGATAGCTTCTCTGCGACAGACCCAATGTCGTGTTCTTCCCCAGAACTTCTGTTGACCTCCCCGCATGCAGCGGAATTGTGGTTGCCAGTAACATTTGCACTGTGAAGTCGCGCGCGAGGGCCCTGCGATGGCCTATTCACCCAAACATAGCCTTCATCGTTGTCTTCCTTCGCCCTCAATGCGATTCCCGAGTTGAACATCCGTTGCGTCCTTGAGTGATGCAAACATTCCGGTGACGAGCTCAGACGATCAAGAGGACGGGTTGAGGGAATTCTCCCGGTCTGTCTCAAGCGCCGGTCCTGCCAGCTGACCGCATTGCCTCGGGAAGACTTTTGGGGCATTGTCGAAAATGCTCTGCCACGAGGCGAGTGTTCGCGGCAGTAACCGGCCACCACCAAGGAACCAACGAATACATCGGCTATAGACGCCGCAGTGGGACGGGGCCGTCTGGAAGCAAGTCGTCTGACGGAGGCATTGTAGGAGAACGAATCGGAGGTTGACATGAAAGGGTAATTGAGGGACAAGCACGTATCCAATCGCTGCGAGAAAGGCCGCAGATCGGGCGAGCTCGGAAACCTAGTGGAAAGAGGCATGAGATGACAGACATCGTGGCATTGGATCAGCCATGCATGTCCCGAGGAGGTCTCGAGCAACAATTCCTGGGGGATTTCAGGCGGCAGGTGTATGGGTATGGGGATGCGACGGGGTGGAGAGGGGAGGGGAGGGAGGAGTGGAAAGAGAGGAGAGGAGAGGAGAGGAGAAAGAAGGGGGAAGAAGGTGTAGGCAAAGGATGAGTTCGTTGATAGTGTAACGGTTTCGAACCAAGTCAGAAGGAGAAGAGGAGGAGGAGGAGGAGAAGCTCCGCGTTCAAATTATTATTATGGGCTTTGCACTCGAACTCACAGTCTCTGCCATTTGTTTCCAAGGCGGAGCCGGGGTTGGAGCCAATCGGAGGCGCGCATTGCCAATCAGTGCCAATGGCTCTTTTTCCACCTCGACTCCCGCCAAACTTCGATTTCCTGGCTTTATCTGCCTGGGCCCTGCCACCTCCTCAAAATATCTCTTGAGGCTTCACGGAGGATTGTTCAATCCGCTTTAATTGATCCTTGCCAGCAGGTCTGACCGTCTTTTTCATCCCCGGTCTCCCGCTTCCTTCTCACACATTCACCGGACAGATCCTCCTCCTCCTCCTCCTCCTCTTCCGCTGCCGCCGCCGCCGCCCTCTCCGATTGCACAATGGGCAAATACAACCTCACAGCGCTCCGCGTGCGCGAAAAAGCCTTACTCCAGAAGGAGGTGAACCAGATCGTAAAATTACCTATCTGGGCCGATGTTATCGGCGATATTCCTCCCGCTCAAGTCCTCGTCCGAAATCAAGCACACCAACATCAATTGATCCGCCAGCGCCACAAGTGGGTCAGACTTAGCAACGGTAATATGGCGAAGCGCTACACTCTAGAAGTTCAAGAAAAGAAGACGAAGCCGAAGAAGGCGAGCCGCATGTTTCTACCCACCGAGATCAAATACGAGGAGGATCAGCTGCGCAAAGAATTCTTCAAGGACCATCCTTGGGAATTGGCCAGGCCCCGAGTGGTCCTCGAAACCACCGGCAAGGACTGGGTCAACCACGACTGGAGCCGGCTCCAGCAGCCAGGAAAGAGGTTGGATGGTGAGAGGTATGCTACCACACTTAACCACGGCTGTTTTCTACGCGTCTTGCCCCCGTTGCCATGCTAAGCATCATCTGCCTGCGTGTATAGTGTCGTTCAGCGCCAACTCTGGCTTCTGAACAATGTTTTCGGCATGACCAAAAGCGCCGCTTACGACATTGCTCGTCGCGAATTCTATCAACTCCGTCTGCGTGAGGATATCGAACGCCGAGTTGCGGCAGAGGAAGCCGAAGCTACTGGTGCTGTCTTTGGACCTACGCAGCTGGAGGTTGGTATGAAACTCGAGAACCAAGAGTTTGAGCGCTGGAAGGTCTGGGCCAGGGATGAAGCTCAGATCCTGGACGCGAAACACGCATCAATGGCCGGTCCTGTAGTACCAGACAATGAGGACTCCGTGAGTGTAGGAGAAGAAGATCCTGCGGATGAAAGCGCGCTTGAGTAGAGGAGTCAGTAGAGATGTATTGGGAGAGGAATTATTGGGATATTTTCATGTACACTACGGGACTGTTGAGATCTAGGGGGGTTTAAATTTGCTTGTACTGTTATATAAAGTTTTATACTTCTTTTGTTATTGCATTCAATCTCATCTTTTTTTTTCTTTTCCCTTCTCACATTATCTATTTACTGTCCGATCAGTTGTTTACTTTGTTCACTTGACATTCTTTTGATGTTTCCCCTTCATGCTTCAGATTTTGTTCTTTCTCTGTCATGGCGGCTACAGTACGGAGTACATCAAAAAGATCAAACAATAGCAGTCACGGGTGTTTCAGGTGTGGCTACCGGGCACGCTCCAGGGGCCAATCAACCACCAGTCGACTTATCGCCCGGAGGGTCTGTCTTTCTATTCTGCAAACTACGTACAACTACGGAGTACAACTACAACTACTAACTTAACTACAACGGAGACCTCCGTACCTCACCTCCTTCATTCCCATGTCAAACAATCAACTCGCTGAATCAATCGCATCACTGAGCTAATCAGAAAAAGAAAGAAAAAAAAGTTACCTACTGCTATTGCAGTCAGTTGATTTAGCTGTGGCTTTCTTCTGACAGCTGCAACCTTTTTCTCCGCGTTTCAAGTCTCTCTCGCTCCCTCTCTCGCTCCCTCCCTCGCTCCCTCCTCACTCACTCACACCCGTCACGCCGCCCGTCCTTCTCGACTTCCGTTGACCTCTCGGACCAACATCTATCGTCCTATCTAAATTTTGTACTGGCTTACAATCTACTCTTCTCACTTCTTGACTTACCATAAGGATTCTTCTTGAAATCCTCCCTTGTCGTGATTCTCGTGTTGTTCGGATTCGAGCAAGTCCTCGTCCTTTTGAAGCCTAACGAGTGCCGCCCGGGCCTGGCTGCGCGCCTCACGCCAACTGCACGCACTGTCGCCTCCTTTATACCCTCATACTTATCCTTTCTTCTTACGACACCTTACCCAGTTTGATTATACATCGATCATGCTTCGTGCAGGCCACAGAACACATCCCGGAGACATCTTGGCTATCTAAGTGCACGTTCGAATTCCGAACCCTCAATCACGAAAATTGCCAGCGCCAGGCCGATCGCATAGACCCTCTAACTCCGTACATCGTCCACTATGTTGTCGACAATGGTGCGCCCGGAGGATACGATTAGGATGCCCTTCGCCTACCGTGGCGACGCGGACAATGACGACGATGGCAGACAATCTTTGGAACAAAGCCTACCGGTCTCGCTCGTACCAGCCTCGTTGGTGCCTGCTGCATTGGTGCCTGCCTCCAGAATTGATGCACCGGCCAAAAGTGAGGATGAGGTAACACTTGTCAGCGGAACCGCAGGCGACGGCAATGGCACTACAGGCAAACATCCACCAGGACCCCGCTTGTTAACAACCGAGGAGACAATCGAGCTGGCCCGCCGGGCGGTTGAGAATGGAATCCAAGAAACAAAACGCTCGCTTGCTGGAAGTGAAGCAGTCACCGATGTAGTGAAGCCGAAGTTAACGATCGACTTGGGTCACTCCAACATTTCTCGTATTCCTGAGTCAGTCGTGGATACCATCAAGGACGAAGTTGAGCGGTATGTTTCCTTTCACCTTCCTGCTGCGACAGACGTCACCTGCGTGCCCGGACACGCTGACAACTAGCAGACTCTCGCTATCCAATAACCAGTTGGTTCACATACCCTATCGATTCGCAGAGTGTCGTCATCTACGATATCTGAACATCCGGGCAAACAGTTTCCGTGAATTTCCCAAAGGAGTACGTTCCGGGCACCTCAAATGAGCCTCTTCTGCTATGGGCTCTAACAATGGTTTTAGGTTTATAAGCTGCCCCTTCTCGAAATTCTAGACATCAGTCGCAACAAAATCAGCCACCTTCCGGAAGAGATCAAAAAGCTCTCCTCTCTTAGGGTTCTTTCGGTAATGCAAAACCGCCTCGACGACTTACCACTCGGGATCTCCGACATGAACAAGCTTCAAATCCTCAAAGTTGCTGGCAACCCCTTGCGGTACCCCCTGCGACGACTCCTCGAAAGCTCTGAAACAGAATATGCCCCCTCGAGCTTGACTGACAACGAGAAGGAGGTTGCAGTAACCGCTGAGCTTAAAAGATTTTTGAAGACAAAACAGCCTGTTGCGCTCTTGGAAATTGAGAAATATGACCCGAGGTATGTCCTCTTGTCTCCACTCCGCAGCACCGAAACTGACATCGCAGGGCTTTTAGCGAGGGCATGCTGGATACTCCCAAACCTCTTAAGCGTGGAATGAGCAGTCGATTCCCTGTGATCCCAAGTACCGGCGACAGTGCCTCCGACCCCAAGTCACCCTCGTTAGGTCGACCACCGCCAATTCCAATGAAGTCCCACTATCGCATCGCTTCGGGGCACAACCCTGCCTTCCACGGTGCCGTACTACAGCGTCCAGGGGTGAAACCCTATGGTGCGTACAATGAGCGCAATCGAAGCAACAGCGAAGGCATTATCCAAGCCTCTCTCGCAGCGCGCAACAAGCGGATGGGAGTCATTCGGAAGAACACAGACCTTGGAACTCTCGACGAGACACGTCCCTATCGGAATAGCCATCTGCGAGGCTTGAGCTACGGCTCGATTCTTCGTACCAGGCCATCTGGCGCCCTATCTAGCAGCAATTCTTCCAGTCCCAGCAGCCCAAGGGAGCGCAGGCGCTTGAAGGACGGGTTTGTGAATCGAATGTCGAGTTTACCGGAACAAAAAGCAGAGAAAGTGACAGCCGAGCCCATTATCGCAAGCGCAAAGTGCATTCTATTCGCTCTCTTTCAGATTCAATCCAATGTCACGTCCTTGATAAGCGTCATCAAGCGTGAAGACGCCCGTCGAAATAGCCTCGAGATTGTCTTTTACAATGCTTCTACTCATGTCGATCGCCTCAACGAGGCTATCGAGAACGCAGAACACTCTCAATTTGAGGAAGCCGACGTGGCACGGTTGGCCAACGAGGCTGTCAAGCGAGAATGTGAGACATGCATTATCGCCTACACACACGTCGGCACACAGTTACGAAACAGTATTGACAAAATAGTCACGAACGGCGAGTCGTGCTATGTGCGTTCTCTGATTCTCATGATATTCGGTAGCATGGTTGAATTGCGCAATGCGTGTGCACATCTTGGAGTGCCCATCGAAAAGGGCCCCAAACCAGCTGCGAAATTGCCTGTTCCAGAAATTAAGGAGTCCGCAGGTCCGGACCGGTTTCTGGGGCCAACCGTGACACCAACAAGGGGAAGAGACCAGTCGTTTTCGACACGACGCTACCGAAGTGACACAACAATCCAGCACCCTCAGATTGTTATGAATGGTCCTTTCCACGCAGCATCGCAATACCAGTCTGCCGTCAGTTCACCAGGGTTTGCCCCGACGCCATTCAGTCTCGCCACACGGAGTCGGTCCAGTAGCAGATCCAACCACATCAATACTTCCATACCGTCGTCACTGGCAACCCCTCGCTCGGGCGAGTCATTCCCTGCGATCCCTAGCTCTGTTATACCTCGAATCAGTCCGATGACTGGACTAGATGAGATCGAAGAAGAGCGCATTTTCGAGAGAATCTTCGGTCAGCTCAACTCGGCATGTAGCGCTGCTCTCCAGGGATTGCCTGTGGCATTTGCTCAACTGGTGCGATGTCTCGAACTAGCCGAGCAAACGCGGAAGTCAGAGGGTATCGTCATTCTTTGGAAAAATCTCATCCACCGCTGTCAGGTGTGTCTGGATGTCTCAGAGGGCTTGGGCTCAAGGCTGTCCAACATGAAGGTGAAGGAGCCTGGTGGTGGAACCCGGAACACGCGCGAGTTCTGGCAACACTGCAAGGCATTTTTGCAGTCTTTCGTAGACCTTGTCATTGACATGAAGGAGGTTCGAAATATGAAAATTCTCCCCAACGACATTGTCAACATGCTTCGTCCCATCCAGAGGTCGAGCAGAGAAGCCGGACGTATGATCGATGCGTCGCCCTGGTCTTTTCTTGCAGATAACCCCAGCAATCCAACTCCCAACATATACGGTCCTCCTTTGCAGGCTCATCATTCACAGCACCAGACCTCGGTATCGACGACGAACACATTTCATCATGGCCCTAATTTATCGCCATCGGTCCATCTTCCTGCAACACCTCTAAGTGCCGCACTCGGTCCCGCTGCGCAGGCGACCGTTCCCTCTACCCCTGCCAGTGCATACAGCGACAAGTTTTTCGAAGGGGATGTCTTCCAAAGAGCCGACTCTTTGCTCTCGATGCCTAACCAAGCCCCATTTTTCGCCCGTCGCTGAACCGGAGTCTTCATCATCAACTTTCTCCGGTCTTCGTACCCACTGCGATAAACCGATGCTTTGACAGCTGGTTTCACGTGGCCACAAACTTGCATTATTCATGGCTCAGTGAACAATTACGACATGATTCAATGTGCAGTATCACCTCTTCTTACTCTTACATGCTTTCCACGATCTTCCAAGCATCCTTTGTAACCCTATTTGTGTCGCATATTTGAATGCTTTTCTACACAGACACCAGGAATACGGGGGCACATCGACTCGGGACTCCAAAACAGGCGGCGTACGGCTTTTCCAGCGTTCAATTTCTACTGGGAAAGGACTTTGCATAGCGTGCTCTATCCTTTTTGTTTTTGACTATGCATTATGAAGATCAAGGCGAAATGAAACCCATCATGTATTTGTTTTTTAACCCCTTGTGATTCCTACCTACTGATAGAGAGGGGGGCACCAATTCAAGAAAAAAAAACATCATAGATACCACCACAACTTTTCGAAAGCAAGGAAAAGGGCACCTCTTTTTTCCTCGCATAACATGACAAATTGCATCGAAAACGTGAAACTTTCTTGCTGTTGGTGCAGCAATCACTTTGCAAACCTAAAATTCAATAACCCCCCTTTTCCAAACCGTGGGGTTGGTTTTTGTAATTTGTGTGTGCTTGGTTTTGTTTTTTTGGGGGGCTCTGCTGTATTCCTCCCAACACTTCGCCCCTACTGCATTGCATGCATCATGCAGGCTCCCCCTCCCCCAGGAGAAAGATTCGTGGATGTGCAAGACATCCACGCACTGACCTACAGATTACTCATACATCTACGGCACAGAGATGATCGTTCCCTTGTCAATCTAGACTTTTCAACAAGTGAATTCCTGTCGATTTGCCAATCCCCTTCGACTGCAGCAATTAGCGATCTGGGTAATTTTGTCTTTTCCTTTACATGTACACATTTGTATATATTTTTACTGCAATCATGTCAATCCCATTGCGAAGAGTCCAGAACCACATCCCGCACAAAAGCAAACATTTCCCGGGGCTTTTTAGCAATTACCGCATGGCCTGCGCCCCAGAAGAGATGGTAGGTGACCCCTCGCGAGGAGGTCCAGAGACCCGCTGCCACCGGTGGTGGTGGTGATAAGGGGTCATCACAGCTACTGGTATCTGCAGGGCAGGTGGTATCGGGCGAGGAGAAGGAGGAGGAGTGGTTTGTATGACGCAGGAAGCCCGCATCGTCTACATGGAAATAATTACCGGTGAACGGGCGCGAGAACCCCTGGCCGCCGTGCCAGGTCATATTCTGCAGGGCCAGTTCGATGCCATAGTGGTTGAGGAGGAAGTCGCTGTCGCCGGCGTAGACGTGGAGGGCGATGTGGTGGGTGGTGATGAGGTCGGGGAGGATGGTGTCCGCTGGCGGTTGGGGCAGTTGGCCGTCTTTGAGGACCAGAGTGCGGAGGGTGTCGTTGCAGGGGAGATAGGTTTGTGCGCGGGAAGTGGTGGGGATGGAAGAGGAAGAAGAAGGAGAAGACGGGGGAGGAGATTGCTTTTTGGTCTCTGAGGTGGTCGGATTGGAATTGCGACTGTTTGCCGGGGATGGAAGATGCGAGGTTTGAGAGGTTGATGATGATGCTGATGAAGGTTGGGAAGATACAGGGGAGGAAGGAGACGGAGGGAGCAGGTTCAGTGCGACTTGGACGTCAGGTCGGCTGAAATATGAAGATAGTAGGGGCAGTGGGTTGAGGGTGGCACAATTGTTGGTGATGTCGTACACGTCGAAACACTGATGCTGGTTCTGCGCGGTGGTGGAGAGGTATCGTGATGCTGTGGAGAATGTCGCGCAAGATCCGTCGCAGGTGGTGGAGTTCAGAATGGAGGAGAGGATTTCTTCGGGGGTGGTCAGAGGGTGTTGCATTGCTGCTGCTGCTGCTGCTGCGGTGTCACTACTGCATGTTTGCTGCTGGTCTGGTGTCTCGTTATCGTCCTCTGCATCGTCGGGGATGGGGATGGGTCCCTTGGGCGGATATTGTGCGGCTTGATAGAGGACTTGGTCAAATCCGCAGACGGAATCGCCTTCAATGAACGCGTCGAGGATCTCGGGTGGAATTTGTAGGCGCGATTGCTGGGAGCGCATGTATGCTACGGTGGGGATGGTGGACATGGCGATGGAGTTGCCAAATGTCGCATCCCCGAGGGAGATGGAGCGTAGATGGAGCGGGAAGGAGGCCTGGTGGTGCACAATGGCTGAGGCAAGGTAGGGGATGTATATACCGGCGTAGGATTCGCCCATCAGGTGGATCTGCTTGGACCTGAGCTGAGGGAAGAGGGTGAAGAAAGACTGTAGCCATGCGTAGAGGTAGGCAGTCACTCCCTCGTTGTCGGACAGTGGATAGGGCTCACTCGCCGTGGACAATCCCGTCCCCACGGGTTGGTCGATATACAGAACATGTCCCAGCTGCGTCCAGGAGTGCGGATTGCGCTCGAGCTGGGTAGAATTGCCAACGAAGGCAAATGGCCCATTGCCCGATAGCAGTCCGATCAGAGACGAGCATCCAGGCCCGCCATTGAACCATACTAGCCGATGTCTGATTAGCTACGGAGTATTGCGGCTGGATCTGCAGAGAGAGACCAACTGATAAGGTTATCATCATGCGCAGGGTCTTCGGCCTGGAAGAGCCAGAAGAACAACGAGTTGCCGGGTTCGGCCTCAGGAACAGGAATTCGACCGGCCCAGCTGGTAGGAAGAGCAGAAGAAGGGACGCCTGGCAAGGAATGAACCTCGAATTGGGAGACGTCCAGCCGACTCAGGCTCGGAGGCAGGAATGGCCAAAGCATACGGATCAAGGCGTAGACAGCGACCAGATTCATTTTCTCATTTTCTCATCTTCTCTTCACTCCTCACTGCACTACAAGCACTGTCGTAGCGACTGCTTGACTCCATCTCCATTATATTACAAACACTGTTGTGAGTCGCCATACTTATAATGAGTATCCCGATATTGCTCTCAATAAGCTTGAGCTTATTGAACTCTACAAAGAGTCACGGAGTGGCGCCGACTTTGCGTGTCCGAGCTGATACTGGTACAGATTACACTCTGAGAATGAAATAAGTAGTCCATGATGATTTCCGTGGCTTTGTCCTACCTCATTGTCTACTACTAAGTAGCTGTTGCTCAAGAGTTGATGGAGTATAGCGAATCACCTGATTTAGGGCCAGGCATGTGGTCACGGGATCTGCCCTGGCTTCCCAAAGAGGAAATCATCCTCATCTTTTCCGCTTCATTGCCTAGACTCGGCCGGTGAAAGCATCAATCAGGCAAGCAATGTGCAGCGGAGTTTCAACAAGTCGCGGTAGACATATATGTCGATACAAGGTTCATCATCACTCCATATTATCTGTCCGCCCTGGCCTGACAGGCTGGAGGAAGTTCTAGTACGGACTCCGTACTTCCCCGCCCCGCCTGCAACAGCGCAACGCGGAGCCAATAATGGCTCCAGACTTGCGCAACGTCTCGACTCTCAACTCTACCCTGCAGCCTTGGGGAGCAGAAACCGGGTCTATCCTAACACCGCTTCTCTTATGGCTTGCCTTGCCAACAGGCTTGGCTTCTCTCCCCCTCCCCAATTGCCACCTCGCCGTCCTGACCCGGGATAATGAGGCGGCCACGCGTGGAGTATCTAATTGTTGTGACCAGTGCGCAACAAAAGTGAGGCGCTAAGCCAGCATCAACCACAGAATTTTCTCGCCCCTTTATTCGCAGAGGAAAGGCTCGAATGGTCCAGCCACATTATTCGCATGACGTTTTCGCCGTCTGCCGTCTGTTATTCGTTCTTGTCGGCAATCATTACTTACGACTCGTACAGCGCCTTCTATAAAGCGACCCCAACTGCAAGTGCTGCGGATCCAATGAATCATCCCACTTCTTAGCAAGAACTGGATAGTTTCTCGATACGGAGTAGTAGATTGACTTGCTGGGGCCATCCGACCAGAACCTTGAGCATCAGATTCCTGCCGGGAAACATAGACACAAACCGGGGAAGAACCACGGTACTAACTATAAGTTACAACCTAAGCCATTGCTGACTCGGGTGGACTTACCGATGCTACCACGCGTGCGATCCACCCCGACGGGGACTGTTGGGTTATCAGTAATGAACATCGACGTCAATCTACATATCAATCTGCTAGGGTGGATAGATCGGGGCTGTCCCCATGTCCCACCCCAACCCAAGGGAGGAGCCAACGGGAGGAAATTAAACACGGTCGCGGGCGCCTGTGAAGTGAAAAGGGGCCTCTGTAGCGCAAGAAGAGTTCCCGCCGGCGGTCACCAACCCAAAGTCGACTGCAGTCCCGAAGGTGTCGGTGGGCAAAAAGCGGAACCCCCCATCGCTCATCCGCTATGCGAAATTTAGTAGAAGAATGATGGGTTTGACGCCCGACTATGAGATTGGGACCAATCGGCCGGTCTCATCTAGGTTTGCATGACAGAGAAGAGATGCAGAGTTGCCGAAAAGTCTTGGATGAGTACTGAGTACTCCGTACCTGTGGTACTAATTAGTGCACACGAGGGCCAAGCAAGCAAGCTGATGGATGGCATGATGCTAAAGGGTGCTGATGCCCCGTGATCTATCGAGATCCCATGCTGCATGGTGCCTGCCGTTCGGCGCCCTGGGATAGGGAAAAGAAAAACAATCACCCACTACTTCCAGATACTCATCCCGCACAGATCTTGTCGGCCAAATTACACATAGTCATGTCTAGAGAGTGGATGACAGAAATCACCCAACCTGCATGCGGAAGAAGTTTAAAGATCCAACTTGCCGGTTGTTAGTTATAGTTTTCCGTATGGAATGTCCGGCCATCCCCTGCTTGGGATCTTTTCTTACTCCATGCAGAGACAGTCTCCTGTTCATCACATAACCACTAATGAATAATCTGTAAACAAAAGAAACCATACCGGAACAAAAAGAAAAAAAAAAACAAAAAAACAAAAACCCTTCACAAGAGCTCGGATGAAGATGGATTCGGTCTTAAGATCCATCCGAACACAGTCAACGGCAGGCTGCATCCATTTGCTTTGCACATTGCCATGATTCAGCGGGAATACACCGAATTGCCCTCCTATCGAAGTATCACCGGAGACTATCCCTCCTAATAATACCTTTGGATTTGTTTTGGTTCCTCCCCGAATTTATTGCTCCATCCCACCCAGATAGAATTCAATTGACTGGTGGCGTTCTGCATGGGTTAGTTAACCAGTTGAACCAATTTGCACCAGTTATGGGGAGCGGACTCCCTATCACATTTGGGAACTCTAGGCCTTTTCCACGGTGCCGGGTAGCAGCATTGAAACCGGCACACGCCCGAGGCCTGAGATCGCACACGATACCGTGCCCTGCCCTGGTTGTGAGGAATGCTGCTGCTGCTGCTGGGGTGGAGTCAGGGATTATCGCCGCGGGAATAATTGACTTTCTTTCCCTTTCCCTTTGCCTCTGGTCTTTTCGCCTTCCACTTTCTCAACCCTCGCGCAGTGATTAAGGAATGAATGGATGAATGGATGACTGATTGATTGATTGATTGATCCTTTCTTCCCCACACCACCTTGAACTAACCATCGGGCCAGGCTTGAAGAAGGGCAATCCTCGTTAAGTCAACCTACTAGTACTTACTTACTTACTTACTTACTTACTTACTTACTTCTTCATCTTTCTCTACTTCAGCGTTTCTTCTCTTCTTCTCTTCAAGCATCCCACGTCATCCGCTATGTGATGAAGGATTGCCGATGGAGAATTGAAGTTATAGTTCCCTCCCCTTTCAGCAGCAGCTTCCGTGCCCGTTCCCAGCTGGTCTCCTGGTGGTTCGCAGAGCCAAAACAGAAACCGGAAAGTTCGTAGTTGCTGCAAGCGTCTAGATTAGATCAGCCTCACTTTTTCCAGTGCCCCTGCAAAAGGCTCACTTGCCTCTCCTCCCTCTCGTTTTTTCCCTCTCTCTCTCTCTCTCTCTCTCTCTCTCTCTCTCTCTTTCGTTCTGACCAGTCAGTTCATACGGTTTAGTCTCTTGCAATGCGGTAGTGCAGGACTGATCTTGTCTTTCCATTGATCACTGCCCATTTCTTTTCTCGCTGGTTTTTTTTTATTCTTTCCCTTCATCTCTGGTATCGCTGTAGTTCCCTTGGCTGGTGTTTTTCCTTTTTTTTTCTTCTCTCCTTCTCCCCCTCTTAGTTGACACTGACATTTTTCCCTCCCCTCCCCCTGTGTACGGTAGTGCAGGGTTACTCTTCGGAGTCTTCAACCGCTGGATCTACTGAAACCCGCATGCTTTGTTGCTGCCATTGGGGTGGGTTATCAGAAACATTGAATATCCCGGTCTCTTTGTTCCTCTGATCTCGTTGCTGTCGCCTTTCTTCCTGTCCGCATCTGTTTGCTCTTCCCCTTCGGCATTCCCTTCATGGTTGTCGCGTAGCCATTTGATTGACCTTGTTGTCTTCCTTTCTGCTTCAACATATACAGCTTCACATCTTGTGCTGGGTGTGACATTGGTGTCGTCTACTAAGACTTGAAGATCAAAAGGCTTGTCACGTCACAACAAACACCACAAGAGATCTATACGCTATATAAAAAGGCAGAAAAAGGGAGGGGGGCACATTTGCTACACAACAACTACAACTGGTCGACTTCTATATCGTCAGTCCATACCTACCACACTTATTCCAACCAATCTTCAACTACAACCACCACCACCACCACAACAAACTTCCCGTTTAATGATCGACACCAGCGATCGACGTCGTTGACCAAGATCAGGTGCGCACTATTCTCCCCTCCCTCGCCTTGAAACCCTGTCGACCCCAGGCAAGGACTGACAGAAGGGTTGCTGGAAAGGGATCACAGTCGAACCTTTCCCCCCCCCCCACACCGTCGTTGTCGTGGTCTAGTATAGGGCTACGGTGCCTTGCGTCTATCACCAAGGAAATGCCCGTTTGTCCCACGATCTAGGTGCAGCCACATATCGTCAAATCTCCCACTTGGACCGGTTTACTACTCTCCTGCCACGCCTCAACCACCAACCTCCAGCCATCACCCTTTCCTTTCTCAACCCTACTACCTCACCATTATCTGCTCGGGCACTAGCGGGATCGGATGGAGATGGACCTTCAAAAAACGAAGGAGGCCCGCCGGGATACGCCGGGCAAGCAGGAGGAAAGCGCCGACTGTCCGTTGGAAGCCTATGGAGGAAGCGGCCATACGAAGGAGTCGCCCAAGAACGATTCGCTAGACCATCGCGATGCGAACGAACGTCCTGATCCCGCGGACGCGCGCCAACAACGGCACCCGGGCAGTTCTGCTTACTGCGAAGATGCTTCGCAGTCTTCGCCTGCAACAGCGCTCCTAGCGCCAGCCAGACCATCATCTTCATCGTCGAAGACCCTTGACATTCCGCCCGCGTTTGGGCTTCGTTCCGAGGAACATAGGCTGCTGCTGACCGCCAAGCGCTATCCCCCAGTAACGAAAAGCACGCTGAGTGAGCTGGATCTCCCATGCATCATGAGCAACATCAACCTGCGCATGGATGCGAACTTCGACCGGGACCTGCATTTCAAGCCCGACCTCGACGGGGAGAAAGGAAGGCGGAAGCGGAAAGAGGCGGCGGATTACTGGGAGGCCATGGCCGTGGAGATTTCGATCTACGCGTTCTACTCGTCGCCCGAAGCTGCCGGCCTGGCCGCGGATGCGCGGACCGACCAGCGACAGGCCTTCGAGCCCCGACTCCCCGCCATGTTCGACACCTTGCAGGATGTGTTGAAGACGCTGGTGCCCGAACGCGATCATCCGGGGGTGGTGCAGAACCTCGAGGTGCCGCTACTCAT